AATGAGAGTTGTGTGTGTTTCATTTTCCCCCTAATTGCCTTCATTTTTTTCAAAACCTGTTTAGTCTTTTTTTATTTCTTTACTTGGAGGGCTAGAATTGGAAGTCAAAGTCCAATTTTACAGTCTCTTAAAAAAGACCTAAAATCAAACCCATAAGATAATTTTAAGAAAAGAGAATAGTATAGAGCAATGTTTTTAAACCCGGAAAGGACTGAGCGGTCCGATTGATCAAACCGCGATCCGGACACACAACCGGTCCAATCCAACCCTCCAAAACCTGGAAAAAATTGGGTCGACAAGAAAAAATCCGGGACTCATCCTCTCCGCCGGGTCCACCTCCGGTCCGGGTTTAAAATCATTGATATAGAGCCTACTCTAAAGATAACACTTGAGGGGAAGACTAGAAGAGTACAAAATGTAGTGTAGTGTGTAGAGTTGCAGAAACACCTGAAGTGATTTAGCCAAACTTTGACGGTAGTTTCTTAAGATACGCGAGGACAAAAGCGTAATTAGCTACAAGAAAAAACCTCTTTCAGTCTATAAATTTGTCAAAACCCTAATATTTCATTCTCGTCTCTCCTCCGCTCCAGCCGCCGCCCCTCACCCTCTTCTTCCCGAACGAAATGACGACCCACCTGAAGAAGAATCGGAAGAAGCGTGGCCACGTCAGCGCCGGTCACGGGCGTATCGGCAAGCACCGGAAGCATCCCGGAGGTCGCGGTAACGCCGGAGGAATGCACCACCACCGGATCCTCTTCGACAAGTACCACCCCGGCTACTTCGGTAAGGTCGGCATGCGCTACTTCCACAGGCTCCGGAACAGGTTCCACTGCCCCACCGTGAACATCGAGCAGATCTGGTCCCTCCTCCCGCCGGAAGCCAAGGAGAAGGCGGCGAAGAGCAAGGACTCCGCTCCTCTCGTCGACGTCACCCAGTTCGGCTACTTCAAGGTCTTAGGCAAGGGCGTTTTGCCTCCGTCGCAGCCGATCGTCGTCAAGGCCAAGCTCATCTCCAAAATCGCCGAGAAGAAGATCAAGGCCGGTGGCGGCGCCGTCATTCTCACCGCTTAGGTCTCTTTCTGTTCTTTGTTTTTCATGCTTCTCTCTGGATTTTCGAGATCTGAATTATCTGTTTTAACTACAGTTATTGCTTGTTTCAAAGATATTTAATTTTGCCTTGATGGATTATCTTGTTCTGTGATCTCTACGAATATGTTTCTATGAAACCTTCATTGATTTTGGTCATTGCTTGTTTTGAATGGTTGAAGTTTTGTCTGCCAATGGGTTGGATTTTGGCCCGGTTTCAACCAAAACCCAAACTGGTTTCAGGTCAAGTGACATAATCCCTCCATTTCATACCATATTAACTTTCTATTAAAGCTTTCTTGATTCGTTGAAAAATGAATGGATGCAGATATAGTGCATGTCTACGTTCATTCATTCTTCAATGGATCAAGAAAGCGTTAATAGACATCAAATTTGGAACGGGGGGGTTTTGTGGGAACGATGAGGTCTGCAACTTGATCGATTAACAGTTCTAGTTTGATATGCATAAATTGCCAATGTTTTGGATTTGGCCACGTTTCAACCAAAACCCAGATTTCAGGTCTTGTAACATAATCCCTCCATTTCATACCATATTAACTGTCTATTAACACTTGATTTGTTGAAAACTGAATGGATGTAGACATATTGCATGTCTACGTTCATCATTCCTCAATGTATCAAGAAAGCATTAAGAGACATCAAATATGGAATGGAGGGTTTTTGTGTATGGACTTGGACAATGTGGTCCGCAACTCGATTGATTAACAGTTCTAGTTTGATATGCATAGATTGCCAATGTGTTGGATTTTGGCCAGGTTTCAACAATAACCCGAACTGATTTCAGGTCTGGTAACATAATCCCTCCATTTCACACCATATTAACTGTCTATTAATGCTCTCTTGATTCGTTGAAAAATGAATGGACGGAGACATAATGCATGTCTACGTTCATTCATTCTTCAATGTATCAAGAAAGCCTTAATAGACATCATATATGTGGAAGAGGGTTTTTTTTGCGTATGGGCTTGGACAATGTTTTTGTGGGAACGATGAGGTCCCCAAGTCTATCGATTAACAGTTCTAGTTTGATATGCATAGATTGGGAATGGATTTTCACCCGAAATGGTCATTGCATATGCTATGATCTGCATAATATTTGGTTAATTTTGGGATTTGTACTCATTCAAGATTAGATTAAATCCAAAATGTACTTTTGTTTGTGTTTAGAACTGCACTTTGGTCAAATTATTACTTAGTTTTTGGTTTATTTGTGATTATACTCTGTCGTATTGTTCTTCCCTTGATCATGAATCGGGTTCATGTAGTTTAAACGAGATGTTAAAAATATGTTGAATTTGTTTAAAACAGAATTGTTTTGGATTATTTAACATTTTCTTTAAAAGGTTTGGTAAAATTTAGCCTTTTGAAATCTACTAGGTAACCTTCAAAACTTGATGCCATCTTCTGGTTTTCATTTCATTTTTTATTTTCTTGTCAAATTTAGTCTTTTTAGGCTTTTTACTTCCTAATTTGGGTTGCAACTAGGGGTGTCCATTGTTCTAGGATCGGACCGAAGTATCAGACTTCAAAGTTTTTGGTTTTAGATTGGACCGAACCAAAAGCCTTTAGGCCGAACTGATTTGGACTGAAAAGACCGAACTAGACTAATATTTTTACTTTTTAGAATTAAAATTTTAGATGTCTTACAAGTAAAAAGACCCTACAAAATGTAATTATACCCAGCCCATCACAAATCAAAATGGGGAATTAGAGATGCAAATGTACCAAATTGAATATTGCAGTAACTTGGATTTTATTTCTTCAATGGATTCTTTCCCAAATTGAACAAAAAAAACAATTCATCACAAACCATAGTTGGGAATTAGGGATGCAATTGTATCAAAGTGAAAAAACTCCATCATGCAACAATATAAAAAAGTGTAGTATACAGTTGTTCAAAAAAACTACAGTTGGATGCAAGAAACCTTTAAAAAAAATTGGGTGGTTTATTCAAAAGTAAAATTGCAAATTACTTAACATGTGAATCGACTATCACGAGAGAAAGGCATCCTGCGGCGTTGTATTGTTGGAGGTCAGAGAAGCTGAGTATGGTAGTGACTTGCTAGCCTATGAAAGCTACAGAAATTGGTGACGGTTTGAGAAGATGGAAGAATGAAAGGAGTAAAGAGGACTCAAGAGTGAGAGGGAGAAACGTGACTAGAGAAAAAGGGTAGAGTAGGGTTGTCGATATTAGGAATTAAATATGGGCATGACCGAAACTCGAAATCATAAATATTTCGGACCGAAGGCCGACCCGGTATCAATTCGGTTCGGGTTCGGTCTGGACCTATTAGTCCGGTTTGATCGATTTCTTTTTGGGTCTAGACGTAAACATGAACACCCCTAACAATTTCATTGCTACATATGTTTTATTTTGAAAATTTATTGATTTACTTTCAAAATGCTTCGTATATAATTGTTATTTTATCTTTTGAGCTACTCTCTCCGTTCCAATTTCAATTCCCTGTTTACTATTTCCATAGTCAAACTTTATTCACTTTCTTTTTCTATTTTCGCGAGACATTTGACAAAATAATATAGTCATGTCACCACTATTTTTGTAGATCCAATGATCTAGTTTTTAAATATGTACTTAGTAATTTTTATTTTTTTATTTCTACACCATTTTTCATGAAAAATAATTTGAAAATAATTTCTGTCAAATATCATAAACTAAAATAGACAATATAAAGGAGTATGAGAATGAAATTAAAAATAATTTGGCACATCCATTTTAAAGTAAACATACGGATTTTAAATCCCGGGTACTGGGTTGGGCTGAACTCAATATCGGAGTGTTTATTTTATTACCTAATTTTGTCAGTTATATGTATAGTCATGTTATCATTTATTTTCTAAGGCCATTCATGTCATTTTTTTGGAAATTTATAGGATAAAGTTATTTGTTCGCTAAGAATTTGTACCTTATTTTGTGCATTACAGAGATGCACCAACATTTTGTGTTGGTGTAACGCACCAACACTTTGTGTCAGTGTAAATTGTTGTTAATGTACCAACACTTTGTGTCAGTGTGAATCATCAAAATGTTGGTGCATATCTTTAGTGTACTACCTCCGTCCCATTTTATAACGCCTGTTTCGGTTTATGATGTTTGACTAGAAAATAAAAATTACATATTAAAAAACTACATCAAAAGATCTACAAAACTAGTAGTGACAATAATATTTTATTTTATCAAATTGCTAACGAAAATAGAGAAAGAAAGTGAATGAAGTTTGACCCTGTGAATAGTAAACAGGCATTATAATTTGGGACGGAGGGAGTACAAATGAAGTATAAATTTTAGGGTACATATAACATGCTCCAAATTTATATTTGCGCTCTACCTTAGTTCATCCTTTCTCAAATTGACCACAATGGCATTTGATTGTTTTATTTATAACAATAGCCTTTTGAATTGATTTTTTTATAATGTGCGTATGCTCCCACTTTTGGTTCATCCTCCCCATCTCAAAAACACTTTAACTAGAGGTGTGATTTCGAATTGTTTGTGATACGTTTATTTAAACGGTTCAGTATCGATACAGAATGATGATAACCAGGGCCGACCCAATAGGGGGACAAAGTGTCCGTCCGGGCCGGGCCCAATAATTTTAGGTGCACCAAATTTTTTATTAAGTATGCATTAACTATTAAAGCACCAAATTTTTTATTAAGATGGGCCATTCAGGTTGTGTTATGTTCTTTCAGAAGGTTATTTTCTATCCAAAGAAAATATGAGGATTTAGTTTATTAACTATTTCAGTTAGAACTTATTACTTTTATGCACAAGAACCAAGGGGTTGTGGTTTGGATAATTTACTTAAGCTTTCTTAATGTTTTACTTTACTCCGATAGAAGTTTTAAATGATGTATTCAATTAAATCGTTGTAAATTGGTTTGAAAATGATGTATATGGATACCAATTTGGTAGCACCTGACAGGCTGACACGCTGACCTATGTATCCCGAGTATGAGAGTTGGGGTGTTACACGTACAGCAGTAACAAGTGGCAATTATAAAGATGATTTGGTTTATGAGCAGATGCGCTTGTGAGAAGAACTTGAGGTGGTTTGTATGTGCAAAGCAGAAGTATGGATGCCTCCGTGAGGAGTTGTGATAGGTTAGGGGCAGGGCCGGCCCAATAGGGGGACAAAGTGTCCGTCCGGGCCGGGCCCAATAATTTTAGG